TTGCAGCCATAACTTTTTTCCACGTCAACCGATTTTGGAAATCTTAGGCTCATTTTGAAGATAAAACTTCAAATGAAGAGATCTGAATATCAGAATTGACTCAAGACCGCTATCAAAGATCTAGAGTTTTCTTGAAAGTGACCCAAATCTGGCGTGAAGGGCAAGGGCTCCCTGAAAAATCTCTTGACCACTTCTGCCAGAAAATGTTTGTTGGTGTATGGTGGGACAAACTTTGAACAGCATCGATTTTCACAGATTATGGATATAAGATAAACAATTGAGTTGAAATAATAAAACTAGTAGCTTACCTATGTTTTTATTCAACGACAGATGACTACAAGCCGAAGATATCAAAAATTTCGCTGTCATCTGTTACAGTCGTAAAAAAAGTATAGTGTATGTAACTCGCACGGAATGCTTATTTCCCACTCGTATGATTTGCATCATAAGCCGTAGGCGAATGCTCGTGGGAAATTACTATCATTCCGTGCTCGTTAAACAATATACTATAATTTGGGATCTTCATCTGGACCAAAGAAATGTTCAAAATTCCAGTGAGTTTCCAGGAAAGCAATACACGCGATTCTTAAAAGATTTTCTTGTTCTGAATTACTTCAATAGAGCATTCATTCAAGTGAATTTTCAGTGCTAATTTCTTGAATTAGCCAAATCACTTTTTCCAAGATTTCTCATCACAAACGCAATTTTGTTTTCAAGTAACAATAACAATAATATCATAAAAGTTCATTCCTGAACGTCGTGGTAATTTTTTTTGCTATGACTAACCTATACTGAATTCAACTCAAAAACTGATAGGTGTAGTATTCTCATTCCTTTTATTCATTAAAATACTTAGGTAGGTATCAAACCAGATGTCTATGTGTATGTTGTATTTGCCAATTCTGTGAACTGTGAAGGCTACTGCTTTGCAGTAATGGGGGGCCATAAAATACCCACAGTAATTAAATAGTGAATCAGTTTGGCATTTATTGCACAGATGAATTATATTGGTGACAACATAATTGGAAAAGCAGGTGGAATCCATGTGGAACCATGTTTCTTTCACACAAATGACAGAATGCATTGCCATAAAATATCCATGACACTCACTTCTAGAATGAAAATTGGTACCCAGGTATTATATAGGTGAACCTTGCTCATTGAAAACATTCAATATTTCGATTTATCTCAATCTTCAGAGTAGGTACACCTACTCAACATACTCATTTAATTGTCTATCCTAATACACACTTATGCCTGAAGATGTATATTCATTCATTCATCATTATAGCCTTCAGAAGATTAACATTTGCCTGTTTTCCACCAGCTGATATGTTTTATTTTTGTCAAAAAGGTTGAAGGAGTACCTAGGTGAAAAGGTACCTACCTATACCTATACCTACTTTTATAGTACCTATATAGGTAGGTAGTACCTAAGAGGTAGGTATATTATGTACTTATGAATCAAATAATAATGATGACTCTAAAAGATGAAATTTTTGGTTATGATAGGAGGCTGTTTCATTTCAAATCTGTAATTCTAAAGTAAGTACTTAGTAGGTATCTATCCTAATGAAAAAAAAGTACCTAGGTATTTGTTGCATCAAGTGTTGCCTACTTACACTAGCCTACTACTTACCTGTGTAGGAATGAGTAGAACAGGAAATCAAAACCCTTTGGAATTGGATTTGGATAGGTCTTCTCTGGCATTTCAAATCTAGATACATTTTCATTTTGGCATTCTTTTTTATCACAGACTTTGGATACACTGAAAATGAAATAAGGTGGGAATGGGAACACTATTGCGATTATTGCGAATATGAAAAATAAGAATGTAATATCATATCATGCCATATTATTCGATCTGCAGGATTAACAGGATAACCAGAATGGGAAATTAGGTAGCTTGAGGAAGATGATTGAAAGGAAATCACAGGAATGAAAAACACAAATGAATAAATTAAACAAAACAAAATGGAACCGGGAACCGGAAACAAAACAAAACAAGTGACAGAACCACACCAGGGTTGCCAACTCCGTGAAACGGCAGGACCGTACTTAGTTACTGAAATTATCGTATTATGGAAAACATATTTCAGTCAGACTGGTTTAATTGATTTCAGTCTTGATTTTGATTGCATATATCAACATATCTGGGTACATCTTGAAACAAATAAAAAAATGGAACTACAACTACAATAAAAATTCCTCTTATATATTTTGAATAATAAAAATTACCTCATAATTTCTTCACCACTTTCATTCACGACTAACAGGAAATGAAAAAATCTTACGGTTTGGACCGTCCGCCGTATTATGGGAAAAAAATAACATAAAAATACTAACTACTATAGTATTGTAAATAATACTCGAAAGCATCTCCACGACATTTTAATATGATCAAACGATCAAATCAATGAGGGCTTACATTTTCACTCTCACCAGTTGGCGCCTCTAGAACAAGTCAAAAATCACAAAGCTTTGCCGTATCGTATAGCCCAAAAGCTATGGCCTGTTTTATTAAAAATATTCGAAAAAAATGATGTAGATTATTTGAACAAATAGAAAACATCAAGTGATTGAAAGACGTGAACCGTCTTACGTATTTTTACTCTCGATCTGGAACTTTATGATCACCTCTTACATTGACGGAGAGAGAAGAAGAAGAAGTATATTTATCAATTCTACCAACCCTGACCTTATGTTCCCGTGGCGCGGTTTGTTGGACAATAAATAATCTGGTATGCCCAATGGTTAGCCCTCAGTGGTAGATGTTTGGAACATATACAGGGTGTTAACAAATTAGTATCGCAACGGAAAACTGTAGATTCCTCATAAAAAAAGGTAACTATTTTTCCTTCACGAATTTTTTCTCCAGTCTTCTGTTTTCAATATACAGGGCTTCAAAAAATATATTAAGAAAATCAGTTTTTTGCTTTTATCTCAGGAACTGTTTGGGCTAAACACTTCATCATCAATATAAATGACTACTTCTAAGGCTCTTGATCAATTTACTTCGACATGTCAGTGGCGGAGAGGTCAACGCCTCATAAAGGTTTAGCCCCCAAACTAAATGATTATATTAAAATGTCGTGGGGATGATTTATTGGAGTATTATGCAGTAGTTATTATACTTTACTCCAATTTGAGAAACCATGGACTCCTACCAAAGATTATACCATATAAAAGTACGTTCGGGACCGTACCGCTGGCACAGAACACAAATCATTTTAACCTCAGACACAGAACAGACAAAATAGACCATAGTAGCGATTTCCATCATTTGGGAAAATCGAAGCGCTATGAGTGTGGGTGCATACCTTCTGGCTAGTGCCAGAAGTCACGGGATTTTCATTTCCAATTCACATTTTCAAATGAACTATTTATCTACCCTACTGGAAAACAACTTGGAAAAACAAATAATAAAAAGACTCTGCAACGACAGTAGATAATATATAATCGCTGATGTATTCTGGATTTATCGCATTTCTGTTGACGATGCCTTTCATCGTATACAGGACATTAAGGCAATTCCTTTTAAAGTGTCTGTCCGCGAGAGAGGACATCGCCGTGGTTTCGATCGCCCAGTACGAGATGGCATTAACTTGACAATCTAGAAACAAGTGAAGTCGCCCATAAATAAAATGAGGAAGATGGTGTGCGTAGGCCGAACATAAAACGTTGCAGCTTTGAATCATGACCCCTACAATATCTATAAACCACTGCCACACACACGCATGTGATTATCCTCATCCTCTAAGTCTCTATCTCTATTATCGTTATCGGTGTGTAACAAAAATGGATTATTGTTCTAACATTGTCACCGCTGATGATTATTAATTGTTTCGTCACATATACCATATGTCGATAGGTTCTTGAATAAAACCCCTAGTTCAGTAAGCCCTTTGTATTCTTTCAGAACCAGAAACAAGAACGAACCATCATTTATATTGAAAAGTCTGAAAGTCTGTTTTTTTTTAGTAGTAGCCAGTCCATTGAATTTTTATCGCGTTATATTCAGCCTCGTAACTTTTGTAAATTGAAAGAAGAGGACAGGCAATTCATTGGTCGTAATATCATCACCGAAAATAAAGGTTATAATAAATGTTCATCCGTGTCGTCGTAAAATGAGATTTTAGCGGGTCCGAAATCAGGAAGAAAAGTGACTTGTGACAGTTCTCTCGTTAAAAAGCGGCTTTTTGCCGAGACACACACGTAATGACTGACGTATTTTTTGTTCATCCAATATTTTTATAAGTTCTGGAGCCTCATTAGGCCTGCTATGCAATTCACAGCGGGAGACAACTACGCCTTTCTCTCACAAAATCGACCGCTGTATGTGTGGAGGTGTTATAACGTCGGTAACTAAGTTTTGACGGGTCTGATGATAATTAAAATAATTTACTTGGAACTACGTTTTTTTGTAGTCGGTCTATCATAAACTTTTAATGTTCCATTGATTGCTTGAGAATGTACAGCGCCTCCTATTCAAATGAAGACAAATCATTCGATCGCATAATAAGTTTTAAAGGGGCAATTGGAACCCTCAGCCGCATTTGACCATTTGGAACAACCTTAGATCTCAACTAATGTATCTCGATTTATGGAACAAGTGAGTATAAATGCCACCTATATCCTGTATTTAACATCTATAGCTTCTCATTCCACATTTTCAATCTGAGATTGTTACTAAATATTTAATTGAAACTAACTAGAATCCGTACCAACGTTCCACCATAGATCGAAACATGAATACATAATGTTTTATTAAAGTTATAAAGGCACTGGATACGCTAATTTACCGGGGGATTGCGACGTAGTCACAATCATTCACGGTTGTATTTGACATTCGACAACGACAACACTTCTCTTTCGATAATTTGTTTTTAATCCTGGTTTTTATTTTTTATATGTGTCAAAATATGTGATGAAAACAGATTTTTCTAAATAATGTGATCCAAAAGACAGGCGGAAAAGAAGGTGTAATTTGTAACTTTATAGTGAAATATTACAATAAGTGATGGTTTGTTCACATTTTCATTATCAAATTCGTGCTTTTCAAACAAAAATACGTAAGTACCAAACAAATTTTTTGAAAAAAAAACCATAGCATATTATGATAAGTGCAATTTACCGCCAGGTATTATTTATTATTGCAATATCTTGCTGGCTGAGCAATCTGAGCTGGATATGTATGGCTATGCTGATTTCAGTTCTTGCTCAATTTGCTCATGCATCCATATTATCTTTGGACTATGTAAAAAATCACAAAATGCAAAGTACAATGTACCTATATGTGACACAGTATCCCTATCAATATACCAACTATCAAGAAAGTCAAATTCCAAGGTGTCGTCTGGTGTTTTTCATATCTGAGTACTTGCTGTAAAGTGGTATTTTTTGGGTTCTGTATGAGTATCAAAACTGGGAACATTCTTTGATGACTGTTGATGAACATGCTGTCTTCATTAATTCAGACAAAGCTGACATAAAAATAATCTCATATAGGTAAACCTATTATCCAGTTTCTCTAATTAAAAAAATGTATATTATAGTTGGACGTGTGTATTTAGATCTATGGTTGGACCTACCCTAGCTTTTTCATGGAAGTTCTATGAATATTTTAACATTTATTCATTTTCATCCAGTTTTAATTAAAACTGTCATGTTAAAAAATTGACCCTAGGTTTACTTCAGTTTTGAGATCCCAAATATGTGTAGATTTTGTTTTAAAATCTACAGAGGGATCTCAGAATTGAATTCATTATTGATTTACAAACAAATTATGTTTCTTGAATATGCTTTCTCAAGTTTTTAATTTTTGAAATAGATGATGTTCAAGTTGACAATATAAATACATTTAGTTTCAACAAGTAGGTTATAGTAAAATGAAATGAAATATTCTATTACTGAGTGCCATAGAGAGCTAGTATTATCAGGCCTATTGGAATTCCAGCGGCCCTGTTGAAAGGTAGGAAACAGAAAAACATAATTTTTCTCAGCATTTTCACTGGAAACAATTGATATACAAATGCTGATGTGCGAGAGTGGCTCCTGATAGCCATACTGAATATAATCTTGGAATTATAAAACCACCATAAAAGTAAGCCTGATCAATGAAAAACATGTATTTTTGTTCTCATTATTTTACTTCTTTTCAATTTCATTACATTTGGCTACTTTTTTCGTACATTTCAAAGGTTAGTATGGTGGTCCTATATGAACTCTTATTGCGGTGTGGGGTCGCATATGCATTTCATGTTTTTGATGGATCAAAATCGGTACACGAAATTATTAGGCCAATAATAGCTAAACGACGCTATATATGTTTAGTTGCCTAAACCATAATTAATTTTTTTCTGTGATTGGAAAAAAGTTTGGCATTTCATCTCTGTTGGCAGGTTATAAAATGTCACTTTTCAAATATTACTTTTTTCCCGTGGGAAAAAAGTGAGTACTTTTTTCCCGGATATATATCACATATATGTTCACTGTTAATGGCTTTTGGTGTGCTGTTCCGAATAATGAGTCAATAATACCGTCTCCGAGAAAGAACTTTTATCTTCCATTCGACTTGGCGGTTACGTATATAACTGAACTGTAAAGTAGCTTTTCGCACGGAACAAGAATCCAAGATTTTGTGAAGCAGCTTTTGCGATGGATCTGACATGATTATCCCATGAAAGAGTGTTGCTGATGGAAATACCGAGCATAGATATGGTGGGCTTGGTGGAGATGGTGGTGCCAGACCAATATCGGGCATACTGAGTTCCGCCTTTCTAGAGAAAATACAGGCTTGAGTTTTGGTGGCGTTGAATTCAACTAGGTTGTTGGTCCCCAGGCTGTGATTTCAGCAAGGTCTTCATTGACAGTATTGTCTGCCTGCTCCGTGAATTCTTAGTTTCCTGGGAAGAAATGGGAATTCTGGAAGAGAACGCAGTATGGAGGGTACTATCATCTGCAAAGCTGTGGATGGGGCAAGTTGTTACTCCCAACAGATCATTGATATGAAGAAGGAATAATGTTGGTGCCAAAATTGATCCTTGTGGAACTCCGGAATTGATGCCAATGGTATCAGACGATACACCGTCCACCACCACGTGAAGCGATCTGCCTGAAAGAAAACTCGATAAGAGATGGCATAGCTGAGGTGGTAAGCCGTATGATGGTAGTTTGTGGAGGAGTCCTTCGTGCCAAACACGGTCGAATGCTTTCGATATGTCCAACGCGACAGCTAGAGACTCCCCGTATTTTTCTAATGAAGCTTGCCATAAATGGGTGACGTAGGCAAGTAGATCTCCAGTCCATTGGTTAGTCATGACTCTCCCTGTATATTATCTGTACAGGTAAGTAAAATAAGGAAAATGCTGTGCGACAGACCACACGCATCTTCGATAAAAATAGCTGGCCCGTGTTCTTGTGGCCTTAACAAGGATGTCGGCCGGACCGTAGTCGATCTGGTCCTCCGGTAATGTCATAGGTTGTTAGTCACCGGCCCGTCGGACGGATACACTCCGTATCTCTTTCTGATAAATCATGATCGAATTTCAGGCCATTAGCTCTCTTACGATTTTATTTGGGAAGCGGGTTATCGCGCTAGAATCGACGAAACGCGATAAATATCCCAGTCCGAAGGTACAGTGATACATCGGTGAGATGATCGAATAAACTACGGGAATAATAATATTCCCAAATTGTTTGTTCGTTCGGTGTCCCGTGTCTGTTTCATTTTTTTTTTTTTTCGGTTGTTTTCAAGAGCCAAGCTTTTTGGTGAGTTTATTTCTTCGTAACTTGAAACGACGATTAGCTTAGACGACATAGACATTGATTAAATTCAAGCGTGCATGGACGAGATTCATGAGATTGGTTAATTATTATTAATCTATAATATTATAAAGAGGAGAGATTGGAAACTACTGGATCGATTTGGCTGAAAATTGGTGGGGAGGTAGCTTAGAACCAGGAGAAGGTTATAGGATACTTTTTATCCCGTTACCTTTAGGAAATTCAAGATGGCGGATCTAATATATCGGACGAGTTTTGTAATTATGGTCCGATTCTATTCAAAAGTGGTATCTGGGGGTTTTCGGGTTCGGAGATTATGATTCTTTCGTCAGATTTTGATAATTCGGGCGGAATTTGGAAATTGAAGATGGCGGAACCAATATGGCCGACGAGTTTTGTAACTATTAACCGATTCTTTTCAAAATTGGTTCCTAGGGGTTCTCGTGATCGGAGATTATGATGCCTTCGTCAAAATTAAGGAATTCAAGATGGCGGATCCAAAATGGCATATTTTGTGATTAGGATCCTATTTCATTGAAATTTGATATCTGGTGGTTCTCGGGGTCGGAGATTATGATTCATTCGTCAAAATGAGGAAATTCAAGATGGCGGACCCAATATGGCGGACGTGTATTGTAATTATGATCCGACCCTCTTCAAAATAGTTATCTGGGAGTTTTCGGGGTCGGAGATTATGATTCTTTTGTCAAAATTTGGAAAGGGCGCTTCGTTTCAGAGAACGATTTCAAATTTTCATGTCTGAGTACTCCATTCAGGACATCCATTACTGGATAACCACATCAGTATGTAACATTTTAAAATTTCCATTCCGATTCAGTCCCATAGCAGACTGAATTTTGCCATCACGAAAAGACACACGGTGGATAGAAAATTAGCATTAGCACCCTGTATTTCCATGAGAGTTATAATGTTAAGCAATGGGCGTGTATATACCTATACCTACACCTTAGTAGAAATTTTAACTCAAACCATGTTCATAATGATCTTTCCATACATGCATAAATAATGATTGAAGACATAATTCGATCGAAAAATTAACTGGAATGTTTTATTTTTGGACATAAATAATAGTACCTTCTGAAAACGGACCCTCTTATGACGTAGAAACCTCATCTCGTCATTATCACTGTTGCCATATGATCCAAACAAAATATACGAGAGATCGAAATCGATATTGAAATATCTTTTGATATCCACTACCACTACTGCAGAAAAATATATTCAAGTTGTCGATTGTAGGTTGAATCATTGGAATATAAACAATCTCTAGACAACGAAATGTCACAATAATCCAATATATTTCATAAACGTAGCAACATTGCTTTGTTGACCCGTTTCACATGGAGCTGCAAAAAGTCAATATAGGTTAGGTTAGAATTGATCTTCTTCTTGTTCTTATTATCTTTGTCCCAAAAATCAACTTGCCTATTCACCAATCTTGCTGTTTTGTCAGAAATCATGTATCATTCATCTCTGACTGGAATAGTCTGGTTCAAATAATGATTTCAATAATAGGGTTTTGACGTCACATCATCGCCTCGTTTTCAGAGGTCCGAAAAATCGGGGATTTCGATAATTTTTTATAAAACGTAGGGAGCTCACAGCAAGAAACGGTTTGCGGTGGTGAGCTAGTTTGGGTATCGAATTATGAAATAATTTTTTTTTGGTGATTTAAGCCCATTGTTAGAGGTTTTGAAATGTTACAATTTCAAAAAAGAACATGGCGCTTGCGATAAAATTGCAGAGGTAGAAGATCACGAAATAATTCGGTTTCCGCCATATTACTGTACTTTTAATCCCATCGAGTTGATGTGGCATAAACTTTTAGATCTAATTAATATACGCCCGCCTAATGATACACCAACCCAAAATCATAGTGTAATTATTGTACTGATTTAATTCCCAACCAACTCAATATATATAATCTTAATTTCGACACATTCTGAAGTCAAGCCATCTGAGATAAGGTCATTTTCTTAGATCTTGAAAAGAACTATACCACTGTTTTGGGATGGTCTCCCTTCCCTTGTAGTGTTGTAGTAGCTTATTTCGATGACAACGAGTGAATCTTCGACCGTATCGTTTATGAGAGGTGTTAAATATTCAGCCGGAATTTCCATATTTAATCTCGGCAATAATTGATGTATCACAGTCGGAATCCCGGAATAAAACGTTCGATTCTTTCATCGCCAGACCACGGTGACCGCCAGGTAAAATTTCGTTTCCAGTTACTATGGGGGGCGATCAGGGCTCTCTTGATCAGATA